TGTATTTTGGGATTCCATATATGTTGTTTGTTTTTAAAAAAAAATTTAAAATATTGAATCCCAAAAGTACAAAAAGTGCCCAATTTTTAGAATTTGTCAAATCCTCTCAATTGGAGAGGATTTTGACAAATCTCATAAGGGTCTGTTTGGTTGTACATTTTTACCATGTAAAAGGATAAAAAGTGTAAAAAAAGTGAGTCCCAATGTCAGCTTTCATCACTTTACATTGTTTGTTTAAATTCTCTTTTACATGAAAAACTTACACCTTTTGATGAGGTGTCACCGAAATCAAAATCACCAAAATTAGGAATGATTTTGTTGGAAGGTTGACACAATGTCATAAATGTGTCCAAAAAATAATAAAAAGGTTAAAACCTTGTAGAAAGTGATGAGGTGAATAACCACTTTTTATTTTGTGTCATAAATACTCTAGTTTATATTATACTATCCAAACAATATAATACTATTATTTTAGGATTCACAAAGATTCCTAACCAAACAATGTAAACACTCGAATGGAAAGTGGTGAGGTGGATAACCACTTTCTATTTTGTGTCATAAATACTCTAGTTTCCTAAAGGCATCCAAACAGCCCCTAAATGTGTGTGCTTACCTTTCAATTGGACAAATCTTAATTTTATCTTTTTGTGGGAGGTAACCTCACTAAGATAGCATTATTCATCATATTACAAAATTTTGGCATTTGGTAATGCTATAATTTGAGCTTGAAACAAACAAAACATTACAAATTGTAGTATTCTAAATCCCAAAATCATACTCCTTTTAAAAGCACGAGTTCGGGAAAATCTTTCTGTAGACAAAAATACCCTTATAAAATTTAAACTATCATATCACTAATCAATTCTAATTTTTAAATTGTATTTAATAATTTATTCTAATACTAATCAAATAACTTCAAAGTTTGAACTATCCTAATCCTAATAAAATTCTAACTTAATCAAATTCTAATAATTTTTAAATTAAGTTTAAAATAATATATCTATCCTTAATACAACTAATATATCTATCCTTAATTCGTGATATTATATAATAAGGATATTATACTTTTTTAAGTTTGAAATATTATACACTATCTAAAAGTTTAAACTAATTTAGCTACTTTGCACGTGTAAATTCATATTATGATTAATTTATTAACAATAATATAATAAGTTTATATTACAGAAAGATATCATATTGCACGTGCTATGATTGTATCTATCTTTTAATACTTGCATTCACAAAGATAACCAAATTTTTATTATAACCAAATTCTTATTATAGCAATAGGACTCTTCGGGTATAGATAAAGCACCAAATCCACTTTCTTTTCTCACCAAATATTTCTCAGACTTTGAAGCAATTATCAACTGTTCTCTCTCAACGGTTCGATCTTGGTGTCTCTCTTTTTTATTTAAAAATGATGATTTTTTAGCTTTGCTATTTTCTTCTTATTAGAATTAGATTAGATTGTTTAAAAATTATGAACTAGATTAGATATTGTTCTTCTTATTTTAGTCAATTAATCATTGTATCTAATTACAATAATTTTTACATCCCTTCCATCTATTTTCTTCTTATTAGATTAGATTAGATTATTTTAAAGTAATTAATTATAACTGTTTGCAAAAGTCGGCCTAATAGTGGGGGAAATAAAATTGTAATTTTTTTTAAAGTTTCATGCATATTGTGATTTGTATTTGTGATAGTGTAAATTCTATTTAATAGTTCTCGGAAGGAAATCTGTTGGTCCTCTATTTTTCTTATTTATTATCTTAATCTTCTATTATTTGAATCATTTATCCACTGAACTAATCAACTTCAGTTTTGTATCACCGGTAGTTATCCTCATGGAAAAATAACATGCTGTTAGCACTATTTCATTGGATAATGACTTCGATTACTTCCAATGTAAAGTTTTCTAAATTTAATAAACATGTAATTTGTATGTAAGATTAATATAGACCAATATGTCTCTTGTCTTTCATTTCGCAAAAATACAGAAGAAAATCACAAACACATAAATATGAAAAATTCAGTTTTGGAGTCTACAGGAATATGCCAGATTCTCTTAAGAGTTTTGATACTTGCACAAGATTTAAAAAATATATGATATTAGCAAATTAAAATTGGTGTATGCACAAAAAATTATAAGACCAAGGAAAGCACAATCATGAGATACATATAGAAAGCAGTGTATACTTTTCAAACTCAAGAAATAATATCAATTGAAGAAACAGGATCACTAAAGCTTTCAAAAGGTAACATTTGAAAGTATTCCGATGATACAATGAAATCTAACATTTGGTTAATTAGACTAACATAACTTTTATTTGTACGTTATGCATTCCTTTGTACTGTTTTGCTAACATAAATTCTACACATTTTATTTTCATTATATTAATTTGGAATCTTTTAATACGAGGTCTTCTCTCATCAATTAGCATTTTATTTTCATTATATTAATTTGGAATCTTTTAATACGAGGTCTTCTCTCATCAATTAGTACAATGCCATTAACTGACATAATACGAGGTCTTCTCTCATCAATTAGTACAATGCCATTAACTGACAACATATATCGTGAGATCCTACATTGAGAATACATAATAAGTCCATCCATTACTTATGCAAAGAGATATAAAATTATCAGAGAATTTAAAAATACGGTGATTACCACTATTCTGGAGTTTGATATAGAATTAGCTTTAGATATTGTACTAAAGCCTCCAAGCATAGTTTTGAAGACAAATATTGCCGCTTGTTCATTCTATAATGAAGCTGCACAACTGTCTTAATGAGTTCAGCATGGTGTCTGGGATGGAAATTAACCCTGCAAAATGTTCAGTCTATATCAGTGGTGTTGAGGATAGCTTGAAAATCCAGATTTGCAATCTGCTCAACTTTCCTGAGGGAACTTTACCAGTTAGATATTTGGGGTTACCTCTTATGTCAAAAAGGCTATCATTCATTGATTGTTCTCCACTTATTAATAGGATTTCAGATCAATTTCTTCATTGGAAAAAGAGGAGATTCCTCTCATATGCAGGGAGATTGCAATTAATCAAATCTGACATTTTGGGTGTTCAAACATTCTGGACAAGTAATTTTATCTTGCCTATAAAAGTATTGGAAAAAATAGACAGTTTATGCTCATCCTTCCTATGGAACAAAAAAATTCACCAGGTTTCTTGGTCTGATGTTTGCAAAAACAAAAAACAGGGAGGCTTGGGGCTCTTCTCAGTAAGGAACTGGAATTACTCTGCTGCGCTTAAACTCATCTGGATGATTCATATGAAAAAAGATTTGCTTTGGATCAAGTGGGTTCATGAAAACTATATACACCAGTCAGATATATGGCAAGTGCAAATCAAAGCTTCAGACTCCTGGATGTGGAGACAGCTCCTAAGAGCTAGAGACATGATGTTGATCAAATTTGGATCTGTCAGCAACCTCACAAGCATCATCAATGGCTGCTACTTCAATGGTAGGCTTCAAATCTCCTCTATCTATAACATGTTCAATAGCTCTGCTCAAGTTCCCTGGTGCAACATAGTTTGGGAGGGGTTGAATTACCCAAAACACTCTTTTGTGTTATGGCTTTCTACTCTTTCCAGATTGTCAACAAAGGACAGGCTAATTAGGATGAGGATACTCAGTTCTGTGTCCTCCTGATCATCAAAGAGAGGAAACTTGTCATCATCTCTTATTCGAATGCCTATATTCACCCCAAGTATGGAACAGTGTGATGGATTGGTTGCAATTTACTTGGAGGTCTTGCAATTGGAATTGTCTACTAAATTGGTATCCTTATAATCTAAAGGGCAAGGGGTTCATGAAGAAGGTTAAGAGAATGGCTCTAGCCGCAATAGTTTATTTTGTGTGGCAAGAAAGGAATTTGAGATTATTCCAAGGAAAAAATCGTAGCCCTGACATTCTCTTTCGAGCAATTAAGCTTGCCATACTTTCAAAAGTTTTGAATGAGGAAATCCCACTGCAATTCAAGGAGAAAATTAGGAGGATGTAATTGTAAATATTTAGGGTGATAGTTTTGGTTCTCCAGGCTGATTCAATGTCGGAGATATTGATGTGCTACTGTTTTTTCAATTGGTGAATGAATAAAAGTATTTTTCATTGACCAAAAAAAAAATATTGTCGCTTGGGTTATGAAAGTTTTTTCATATATAGTGGAATATTGACTATGCGCGTAACTTTATTTGGGGATTTGACTACAAATGAAGGATCAATTCTTGAAGCCGAAATCAAAGATAAGCCAGTAATATAATAGCACAATAAATATATAGCACAAGAAAGCTAATCCTAACCTGATATTACAATCGACGTAGATGATGAAGATGCTACTCTAGAATTACCCAAAAAAAAGATAAATGTGGAGAAAGATTAATCTCGATTCAATTAAAATATGAAACAAAAATAATAAAGGATAATATTTTTTTGATCATTTTATATCATATCTTAATTTTTGAGTAGAATTAGGAATTTTTATGAGGGATTTTCATACAACATTATTAGTAGTTTTGTATGCTTATGTGATTTCTTTCATCACATAAAATTATACTATAGTTACCATTATTATTTAGTTTTTATCTTTTTATTATTGATTTTGGACAATTATATGTGTATTTCCCTGTCTTTTTTATAATTGGTATGTTTTGTTCTTCAAATTTTATTATAAATTTCTGTATGGGATTGCTCTAATCTTACTGCTTTTGGACAATTACTCTCTAATTGTAAAGTTCTACGATGTGTAATTGTTTAAAATCTTCATGTTTTTTCGAGTTCGTTCTAAATTTGTTTGTAGGTTTGCTCTAATCTTACTGCTTTTGGACAATTACTCTCTGGCTGTAATGTTCTGCAATGCACACTTAATTAAAATCTTCATGTTTCTTTGAATTCCATTATAAATTTTTTAGGCTGTGTTTAGGAATGTTGATTTGGGCTTGGATTTGAAATTCTGGGTATTTCAAATCCAAATTTCATGTTTGGGCTCAACTTTGGGCCATGATTTTAAATCAAGTCATTTTATACAGTGGATTTGAAAAGCCCAAAAAGATGGATTTTAAATTTGGGCACAATACTTGGTATTTGCCAAATCCTCACCCACGAAATCCAACCCCTCAAAACCCCGACTCCTCTTTTTCTCCTCTCTCACGCCGCTCGCGTCAAAGTCCCGACTGGATCTCGATCTCGATCTCCATCTCAAAGCTCGATCTCGATCTCGATCCATCGCAGGTACCTCTCCTCTCTCCCCTTCTCCTCTCTCGGTTTCGGTCTCCCCCTTTACTCCTCTCTCTCCCCCTTCCATCAAAACCCTAGATCTGATCTGACTTGGCTTTTCTCTTTTGTAGCTTGTTTTCTCCTCTCTTTCGGTTGCTCTCCTCAAACTTCTGCAGTTTCTGATTGGGATTCAAGGTATGACTTCAATTTTTGCTGTTTTTTAATTTTTAAATTTTTTTGGTTGGTTTTTGGGGATCTGAGGATGTGGGATTCCTTTGTTTGGGGTATCTGAGTGTGTTCTCATACTGTTTGTAGAGTTCTGTTGGTCAAACCTGTGTACCGATGGGAGTATCTGTTGCTTTTGTTGTCGCTTAGAACTTGTGGCAGTTGATAATTTGTTAGAATCTGTGTTGCAAATTAGCATGTGATGTTGTAGTGATTGTGATGGGTTTCTTTGAAAATTTGACATCCGGGTTATATTGTAGATAATCTGAATCAGTTATATGTATGACTAATTCAGTGTTAAATTGTGTGCTAGCTGATAAATTGGCAGATTGTGTGCAACAGTTTATGGATTGTTGAGAAAATCAGTACTCAAATGACAAAATAATATCCATAGCTCTATTTTCTTGATGCGGGTGATTCTAGTCATAGGTGAGTGATGCTTTTTTTTTTTGCTTGTGGAATAAGAACTTGATGGTATGGTGGATGCCACGACTGTTTGAGTTGGCAACAACTCACTTCTCACTGATTCTTCAGTTTAATTCAGGTTGCATTTATGCTGGTCTTGTAACAGTACCCTTTCTATTAATTGCATGCTTGGTTTTCACTTTGATCATCACGCTGTTGCCTTTCTTGAATGTCATTGAATAAAGTCTGTTCACCACTTACATGTAGCATTTAGCTCTGGTCTTGTAACAGTACCTTTTCTTAATGCTTGATTTCCACGTTAGGATATGACAGTGCCAACATATTTCTCATATGCTTCAAATCTTCTCGAAAGCTGCGTAACAGAACCTTTTTCGCTATTACTTCATATTTCTCATATGCTTACTTCGTATGCTCTTATGATTTATGGAGGTTTTTTCATGATGACATCTAAAGAGAAGAACATGAAACTTACTGTGCAAATGTGAGATTAAGAGGGAGATGTCATGCTGGATCTCTTCAAAGATACTATGCTAGATCTCTAACATATGTGAAAAGCTAGTTGATTTTATTGCCATGACCTTCCTTTAATTTAATTCATGTAGTGAGGATGCCTGATATCAATGAGTTATTTCGTTTTCTTCACAAATCTTAAATCTTTGTTCTAGTTAGAGTTCTCATTGTAGGTGTTGTAACGGTTAAAAATGTTCATGTCGAGCAAGGTAGTTGTAAGTTTTCATTTATGTGATTAGTCATATAGGTCTTCTAATGTGCTATTTGTTAAACCCATAAGGCTAGAAAATCTCAGAGCTACATCCAAGCGTTCAAAAGTTATGTCTTTTCATTTATGTGATTAGCCATATAGGTCTGCTAATTCTGGTTTGTGTGCTTTTTTCTTTTCAGTAAGAACTCCAAGCCGCAAATTGAGCACTTCTTCAAGCTCTTCTGATTGCCTTCTCATCCGTCAACAATTGCAGGTAATTTTACTGTTATTTTAATTTTGTTATGTCGTGATTTCTTATTTTGGGTCATAGGAAACTTACATGTTTTGATGAGTAATCAGAATAAACACAAACTGTCTGAAGCAAAATTCGAAAGCTATAAAAATAGTGTGAGGTTTTGTGTTAATCGTCTATGTGCTCATGATTACTGAACACCAACATTCTATTCTCTGTATCATACAACCAAAGAGCATTTCAATTTCTATCTTAATACGGTTCAACCGCTTGAATTTACGTCAACAGGTTCATCAAAAAGTTTTGTGAAATATTAACTAAACTGAAAACAATATTAACTTCATATGATGTTAAAAGCGCCTGTTTTTGTAATTAACTAAACTGAAAACAATATTAACTTCATATGATGTTAAGCTTGGTGGTGAGGCACATTTTATTACATGAACAATATCCTCCAGTTTAGACTTAGAATTATGTTGTTCTATGATGTTAACAATATCCTCTAGTTTACTAAGAATAACATGGTGTGCAAAGGCTCGGATTTGCTCTTTCATCATCTATATGTACTTTGATGAGGGTGCACTAGAAAATGGGTAGAAACTGACACTAACAGGCACTAATCTGAAGTGGCAACCAAAAACATCAAGAAGAACTTGACACCTTAGGAATATCTTTTTCTTATCGCCAGAGGCTTATGCCAAGGTTTCATCTTCATAACATAGTTTGATCTTCTATGCAATTCTAGTGAGTCAGTTTGATCTTCTATGCAATTCTAGTGAGTCATTTAGTTGGGACTTGATAGCTAGAGAAAATCAATTCTAGCCATGGTCTACATTTAGAAAGCAATGGAAGAAATGGGAACTATGTTAAGAGGAACAAGAGGGCAACTTTGGAATATAACAGTGCATTTGACTTGCACATTCTATTTTAATTGGATATTAACAGATATTTTTAACTGGAGGGGGTTCTGTAATCAAAAGATAACACTGGGGGTTTCATAATAATTGGCCAAACTAGGGAGTTCATCATAATTACCCAAAAGAATACAAACATCCTTCAAGGTCATCTCTTTTGTTATACCAAAAACTGCATTTTCCCTCTTCAATTTTTTGAGTTAATCTACCTAACAAACTCCATTCAGAGTCTGCAGTGGGAATAAAAGGGAATACAATGTTGGAAGGGATTCAATGATCCAACATAAACGTACAAGGGAAGAATTTGAGAGGAGAGAGGATGAGGATATTGTTATGGTAGCGGTAAGTTTTATAATTGCTACCATTGGTGTTTGGTACTATACAAAGCACATGTTGAAGGAGAGTTCAAGAACAAACGAAGAAGAGGATGAAAGGACATACCTTAGAAAGTCTTGGATTCGAACTCTTATTTACAATGCAAATAATTGTGTTGAACAACTAAGGATGAATCCTCAAGTGTTTAAGAGGTTATGTGATGTTCTATGTACTAGAGGGGGATTAGTAGCATCAAGAAATGTCACGATTGAAGAAATTGTCGCTATGTTTTTGCATATTTTAGCTCATAATGTAAAATATAGGACAAGCAAAATAGATTTTTATCGTTCAAATGAAACAATTTCGGCAGTTCCACAAAGTACTTCAAGCAGTAATGAAGATAGGAAGTCTCTATATTAGACAAGAATATACAAATCCTAATGAGAGAGACATGGAGAAGTGGAAATGGTTTGAGGTAACTATGGCTTCTTTTATTAAGGTTTTCATGTTTAATACTTTTGTTTCATAGAACTAATTGTAAGGTTGTGCAATTTTAGGATGCTATCGGGGCACTTGATGGGACTCATATCCAATTAACTATTCCCTTGGAAGATCAAAGTAGATATCGAAATAGAAAAGGAGAGACTAGTACAAATGCACTAGGTGTTTGTGATGCCAATTTGAGATTTTCATATGTGCTACCTGGTTGGGAGGGTTCAACATCAGATTCTCGTGTTTTGCGTGATGCTTTGCGTCGACCCAATGACTTGAAACTTCCCTCAAGTAGGAATATAATTTTTTAATTATTATATATGTATTGCTTCCTAGTTTTACATTGTTATGACTGAAGATTTTGATTTTGTAGATAAATACTTTCTTGTGGATGCTGGGTATACAAATGGGTCGGGGTTTTTGGCACCTTATAGAGGGACTCGCTATCATATAAAGTCTTGGAGAGAAAATGGTCCAAGAAACTACAAGGAGCTATTTAACCAACGTCATTCCTCTGCTAGAAACACAATTGAGAGGGCATTCGGATTGCTAAAAAAACGATGGGCTATATTACGGACAGCTAGCTTTTATAGTATTAAGACTCAAATTAGGATCATTAATGCATGTTGTATTCTTCACAATTTTTTACGTGAAGAGATGAATGAAGACGACTTGTTGAATGACGTGGATCGAGAATTAGAAGATGATCCTGTTTTAGAAATTGAGAATGTAGATGAGGATCGTATCACCACTGTGAGAGTTACAAATGAATGGAGTAACTTTAGAGATGATTTAGCTATGCAAATGTGGGTGCGAGAGCGATCCGAAGGGATGGTATTTGAATCTCCAATGGTAGCACAGCTTCACATCCGTATACCAATGAATATGGGGTGACCCCTGTAGGTGTGCGTATGGTGGTGCGATAAGCCCAGAGTGTTTCACCGAGTTTATCGTCCCAGTCTCGTTTATTGATCTTCACGAGCTTTGACAGGATTTTAATAATCGTCTTGTTAAACGCCTCAGCTAATCCATTCGCAGCGGGATAGTAAGCTGTTGACGAAATATCTTCAATTTTGAACTTGTCACAAAACCTGACGAAGGCGTTGCTTATGAACTACGGACCGTTGTCATGAATGATCTGTCTCTGTATTAGGATGACAAAGAAAGGGAAACAAATTGCATCTCAGTCGAGATCATATGTTGTGTGGAATCGTAATATGGACTCAGTTTTAGCCAATGTGTTGTACGATCAAATGAACCAAGGATTAAAAGTCGATGGTACTTGGAAGCCTCAAGTGTATCAAGTTGCGGTTAATGCACTAAAATCATTTAATAGCAACTTGAACAAAGATAACGTGAAGAATCGACTCAAAATTTGGAAAACACATTATAATGTTATCTATGACATTAAAAATAAAAGTGGTTTGACGTGGTGGGATGATGAGAAGAAAATGGTGATTATACCCGCTAGTGAGCAAAAAGTATGGAGCGACTATGTTTCGGTAATATCGCACTTTATACTTATTAATTTGAATTATTAGTTTGTTGCATATATCTAAAAATATTTGTGAATGTTCTTATATTGTAGGCTAATCCAGATGCAAAAGGCTACCAGAATCGTTTGATTGAAAATTGGGATGACATTATGGTGTTATGTGCAAAAGATAGAGCCAATGGTGAAGGTGCAGAAACCTTTGAAGAGGCTGCTAATGCAATGTAACATGGGAAATCTGAGGCACAATCCAAAACAAATGAAGGTGGAAGCTCTTCAAGGAAACATCTTCCTAGAGCATCAACTAGTGGTGAGATAAGCTCAAAGAAACAAAAGAAGGGGGATAAAATGGTTGATTCACTTGCAGTGATGACAGCTTCTGTGAGTGAGTATTTTAATGAGAGAAAGAAGGAAGTAGTAAGAAAACCACCAACCGGAGAGGAGATTCATTAAGTGGTCTTAAAAATACCCAACTTAAGTCGCATTCAAGTGTTCAATGTATTTGAGAAGATAATGGATAGCAACCCGGAAAAGTTTTATTTGTTGAAGTCACTACCTGATGATGAAAAAAGAGATTTTATTCTCTTTATTCTTAAGGAGTAGTTTCTAGTTTTCAGGTCGGACTACTTTTCTTCATCTCAATGTTATTCTTCACAATATTTTTAACCGAATATTTCTAATTTTTTGATGATTTCTTATGAATGCATCTCAATGTTATTCTTCACAATATTTTTAACCGAATATTTCTAATTTTTTGATGATTTCTTATGAATGTATTAGGGTTTGGTGATTTTGATGGATTCTTAGCTAATTCAAGTAAGGAATGTTTGTCTCATCTCAAAGGTACAAATTTTTTATTTTATTGAGAATTCTGTTCTTTTTATTCAGTGTATACTTGATTATGATGCATTTCTAAAATGTATCTTTCATTTTATTAAGAATAGAACTGTTGAAAACTTGCTATTGCAAGTCAAACAGATTGGATTAGGTTGAAAAGTCCCTAAAATATGTTTTAGACTGATTTAAAGTCCCCTCAAATATGAGTGATGTTGTGACTACAAATAAGGTCATTCACAATCAAGATTCAAAATAAATACAAGACAATGAAAGTATTCTTTTCTAAGAGCCCAAAGTGTTACTATGGATATGAACAGCAAATCAAAAAACCAATTTTGGAATTTATGCAATCATTAGTGTCATTTTGGAATTCACATCCCAGGTCCTGCTACTTTGAATCTTTAAATCCAGAAGCTTCTCCATTTTCTACTTAAAGTGAATCTATATTATTCCAATAGCTTTCATGTGAGTTACTCCTTTTCTTATGTAGCTTTGTCTCACCAGGTGTTATTGTTTCTCTTGTCCAACTCCTTTTACGATCATATCCAGTGTGCTTTTCTCATAAGCAGTCTCAGGCTTTTCTAATGTCAATGTTATGAGTTTTTTTTCGCAGGTCAAGTGTGATATTGTGCTGAGAGTGCTTGTGCTTTGGTCTCACCTTTTTCGGTTCTCATTGTCATTTGATATAGCTTGCTTCTTTGTCGAATGATTGTAGCTAATATGTAAGGGTTAATTGCACATACTCTCTGTGGTATCGTTTTTAAATTGCAACCCCTGTAGTGTACACTTTTGCAGATGTGCCCTTGGGGTTAAAATTGTGACTGTTAAAATTGTGATTGTTTTAAAATTGTGGTGCTTCTATGGTGAATGATTGTGGCTTATAGTATACTCCAATATATTGGCATCTGATGGTTTGTGGTTTGGTACATTTGCTCTTTTATTGGACGTCTTTGTGAAATATACTAGTGGAGAGTATATCAAAGTGATGTCCAAGTACGTTAACGGAAAAATTGAAAGATACTTATTATATGAAGTGTTTTATCTGTTTGCTGGGGCCTCGCAAAGTATCAGAGATGAGTTTAGCTATCAACTTATCTAAATTTGTGTTTTTTGGTTACTATTTTACACATCTCCATTGCATTTGATGTAAACAAGATGGGTTAAGAGAATAAATTTTCATCAATTTTAAATTCAAATTCGTGTATAATAAAGTACCCAAACACTAGATTTGAAATCAAAGATTTCAAATCCTTTCATTTAATAAAGATATTCAAACAAAAGATTTCTTAAATCATGGATTTCAAATCCTAAATTTAAAATCCCTTGATTTTAAATCAAAGTTCTCAAATCCAAATCAAAGTTCCCAAACGCAGCCTTATGGATTTGCTCAAATCCTACTGCTTTTCAATAATATATATTATTGTATAGGCTGATTTTTATTATCTCATGTAAGATGAGGTATCTCGGAACCATTCCTTGCAATTTATTTTTATATGATTATTATGGTTTAGTAAAATTGTTTGTTTTATGTTGTGCAATTTTATTTTCAATGTAATAAGAAATGTGGTTTCTTTTTTACTAGAACATTAGTTCATAGTGATATTGCTATTCTTGCTTGACTCCATATTATATCTTGGGATTAGTAGAGTTTGGAATATGAAATAAAGTATTAATTTAACTTATTTTCTTTTACTATTCTACTTGAAGATATTATTATGTCAATTCATATTTTTTCTTAAGAAACCAATTAAGATGTCCCAGATAAGCTTATAATATCCAAAAATGATGTGCAATTCTATTTTCAATGCAATAAGAAATGTAATTTCTTTATTGCTATAACTATAGTTGATAATGATAATTACAATATCTCAGTTAGGTACATTCATCCCAATTTAGCTTAAAAATCCATTACATTGATTTTAATAATATTTAAATAAAAATAATAGTAAATATAATTTTAATTTTACATATTGAACTCAAGATGAATATGACTTATTTATAGTAATAAAATAAATATAAAAAAAATATTTTGATATTTTACCACATGCACTGCACGGGCATAAAAACTAGTATTAATGAAACAAACAATATTTTAGAAATCCCAACTCATAACAAAATACCTATGGATTTCAAATCCATGATAAAATCCATATCCTAAAATTATATGATTTGAAACAAACACCCACTAAACCAAAATCAATATCCCAGCTCACACTCTCACCCACTTCTGCTTCCAAGTAACTCAACCGAACCAGTACAGTGCACTCCTATTTTTTGGGCCCGGGACCAAATTATTGCCCATGTGCTATGTCTTTTTAGCCGATGGTTGAAATTTCAAGAAAATAACGAGTGGTCATTATCTATATATTGTGATTTGTGTGTGTGTGTGTGTGGGGGGGGGGGGGGGACTCTTTAAATTCAGTTCTTTTTTTTAATTAAAAAAAAATTGGATTATATTTTGGGAATTTCACAATCCCCAAAATTTGGAGACATTTTCCACCCTTGAACATCATTTATTCCACTAAAGCCCTAAAACTTTTTACATGAAACCTCCCAAACTAATATTTTAGTTTCAACCCTTGCACAGTGCCAAGCACAATACTTCAATTGACTAGAATGGTTCTTAGTAAAAAAAAAAATCTAGTTTTTCTCTAAAAACCACATTAAAATTAGGGTAATTACATGGAAGCCACCTTTCATTTTCAATTTTTATATAAACCATCTTCAAAGTAGGCTTTTATTACAATCAACAATCTCTCAGTCAAATTTACACTAAAAAACCCAAAATCGGTTTAAAATTTTCAAATTCAAGGTACGTGAGTTGCATTCTAACTAGATCTAAACACTAAAAAACGAGTCATGTGTTTTGAATGTGAGTTTTTCAATAGTAATTTTGAGTTTTTGGTGAAAATTTTGACCAAGAGGCTGTTGATTGCAACCAAAAATCCACCTTAAAGGTGGTTTATGTATAAATTGAAAATAAAATATGGTTTTCATATAATTAATCTATTTTTAAGTTGGTTTCTAGGGGAGAAAAAACCAAAAAAAAAGCTCACATATTCTACGATCTATATTTGATAGATAATTTTCCGCAGAACTTTTGATTTGCTCCCTTAGAAAACTTTTGATTTGCTCCCTAACAAATTTTGTGCTTGGTAGTGAGGTTGCACAATCCCCTTCACTCATTCAAATGGGGGACCACATTCATATGTGGTTGAGGAGTGCATGAGGATATGCAATCATTTGAATGATTATATATAATATATATATATATATATATATATATATATATATATATATATATATAATATAATATATATATATATATTATATATATATATATATTATATATATATATATATATATATATATATATATATATATATATAATAATGTAGAACATGAGAAACAAAAAAAAGTTGTAGAATCAAAAAATAGTATATAATATATATATATATGATATATATATATATAAAATATATATATTATATATATATATATATATATATATATTATATATATATATATATATATATATATATATTCAAGAAACAAAAAAAATATAAAAAGCAGCTGTCATGCCCAGCCTGCCGTACTCATAAACAGTGCCCAATGCATTCAAAGGATAAATGATAATTTAACTTATTTTCTGATGTGGAGGATCAACCTTCTATGGCAGCCACAAAACATATGATAAGCAGATACACGCACCCTAAGTCAGGCTCTGATGCCACTTGTTGAGTTGAGAAGAGTAGTGAATACTAAGAAATATTTTATTATTCATCTATACTCTCAAATACAAATACTCTCTACTACAAACTACTACATTCTTTTACAACCACTCACTATCTAGAATAATCCTTTGCTATTTGGATGCCTTGAAAATCAAACTTAGGGAGCATATATAAGCTTTGTTATGAGGTATGTATGAAAAATTCTTCAATGACCTAAAATATGAGACCAATATGGGGGACAAGTAAGGTGCCCCCTCCTATTGGATAATGAGTTAGCCATCATTAATGATGACTAACTCATTATCCAATAGGAGGGGGGCACCTCACTTGTTCCCCCCTATTTGTCCCATATTTTGGGTCCATGTAGCAAAGCTCGGTATGTATATACTATTAGGGGGTTGATAATTACTATTGCAATGATGGCTGAGTTAGCTGGGGGTAGATGAAGTGGTTACTTGAACATCGAAAGGATTTGGGAATCTCATGTCATAAAAACCGTATTTAATATCCAACTCCTTCTCACCCACTTTCTTCCCCACACAAACCCGACGAGACCCCATTCCCCTCCCCAGCAAAACACCACTAAATACTCACCCCTCCCCCCTCAAATTTTCCAAAACCAATCAAAGCTCCAAGCTCGACAATGGCCAAGTTCTCAACTCCAATAACGCTAACCTCCTCCTCCTCCTCAGTCTCGTCCTCCCCTCTCAATCAGAAACCATCCACGATCTCCTCCCAACCTACGGACTGCCCCCCGGCCTCCTCCCCTCCACCGCCTTCAAGTCCTACTCTCTCACCACCGACAACGAGTTCTTCATCGAGCTCGCCTCCAGCTGCTACGTTCACTTCTCGTCCGACCTCGTATACTACGGGAATAAGATCACCGGAAAGCTGTCGTACGGTCGGCTCACAGACATCACCGGAGTCGAAGCCAGGAGGTTCTTCATTTGGGTTCCCATCACCGAGATGATAGTCCATCCTGCCGATAACACCATCGAGTTCCATTCCGGGTTTTTGTCGGAGGCACGGCCTATTGCGGAGTTCAAGGAGGTGCACCCGTGCAAATCTAGTGTTGGGGGTTGCAGGGGAGTGGACGGGATTTTGAAGGAGGAGGTTCTTGCTGTTGCTGAGGTATAGTGAACTCTAATCAGCGATCATCTTAATTTATAGTAAGTCCAACGCGTTTAAATTAAGTAATTTATGGTAATACCTTTCTAATTACCTACGATAATAGTCATAAACTATATATTATTAATCAAATACGTGTATAGTAATATTCAATAATTTTAAGCGAATATAATTGGAAAGCATTTGTATTCGAATTCGAAGAAATTCAGCTGATGACATTCAAATTCAAAAATCTTATACAAATACTAATACAAACACTGCAGTATTTTATTCCATTCGATTTGTTTCCGGACTAGATACGGTGGACTGTAATATGCTAATTCTAATGGCAAACGCACGCATTTGAACCAATGAGTACAATATGCATGCTTCGCATGTGGATGTACTTGTTTTATTTTTTTAGATTGTTTTTCCTTAATCGGGAAATCGTGAGTGGTTTTTTAACAATTTTTTTTATAAATTGAATAATTAAATTTTATGTTAGTGAATGAAATTGTATATTAAAATTGTGAAGAGTTGTATGAAATTTTTTTATGACTTGGATGATATTACAATCTAATTATAATTCATTTTTATAATTATAGCAAATTAAATATTAATTTAATATTATAATATATTTTAATAGTAATAATAATATAATTGTAATTTCGAGTAATTATAATAAATTATTATTATATATTATGACTATTCTTATTCATAATATACTATAACAAAATTAATAAGCATAAAGTAATAAGATAATCTATTAAATTTGTTTATTATAATGTTATTAAGTAATTTAGTATATAATGATATTTATAAAATAAAGCTTAATTAATTATTACTATTAGAATAATTGAACTACTTATGTGATTAAAAATTTATACTATTTTATTAAACTATTTATTATATTATACTATAATTCTTAATCATATCCAATAGTATATTAGTTATCTACAATATTTTTAAATTATTTTATAACAATTTACAACTAATTATTAAATAATGGAATAATATAATAATTTATTAAATTAGTACACTTATTTAATTTAATAAATTATTCTATAAGTTATGTTATTATACTATTATTAAGCAACCAATAGTTATACTATTATTAATAATTACAATTATGTAAACTAATAGTACAACAATTTACTAAGTTATGTACACTTATTTAATAAATTATTCTATAAATTAATTTATTATATATACCATTATTAAGCAATCAAAAGTTATACTATTATTAAGAATTATAATTATGTAAAATAATAGTACAATAATTTATTAAATTATGTACACTTATTTAATAAATTATTCTATAATTTTTTTAATTATACTATTATTAAGCAATCAATAGTTATACTATTAATAATAATAATAATTGTGTAAAAGTAACATCTTAAATTATTATTTTATATTATTTTATTAAAATTAATAATTGTCTACAACCTATTTTGAGCTTGTTTTTATTATTATAAATTATTAATTATATTCGAGTAAATGAAAGGTTCTTAGGAAAGTGAGGTGGCAGATAGTTCATCAGAGGTTATGGGTAGTTGTAAAATATTAATTAGAGTTAATAGACATAACTGCGAATTATCAAAATTGAGAGAGCAAAAGAGACAATTAAAAATTTTGTAATAGACGTTCTCTTTTGTACGTATATCTGTACTGTGTATATATAGATAGATAGATGTAGATGTAGATTCCGATAGGGTTTTTCACATAACCCCCTCATCTAAGTTGCATATTGTCGCGTGCAGTGCATGTCCGAGTCACGTTGTTTACATTCATGTAACTAATTTTATGCAGAATAAGGCTTTAAAACTGAATGATAAAAAATAGCATATGCGACCTACACTTGAGACATCTTCATTATTCAAGTTCTGTTAATGAAGTCGAGCCCGATTCGAAGCCCTTCTGAATTTAAGTCTTCGTCAAAATATTGCAGTCGTATTATCGGCATGCCGACTTCAACTAGGGCTACCACCTATGACTTATATGTTGAACCTAAAAGTCCAACACATTATTACTAAAATGGGTATATTGATTGCACAAATTGGCCCTTTCTAGTTGAGCAGTGATGGATCCTGAAACTTCTTCCTATGAGGGCAATGTTTAAAAATAAACTTATAATTTAATAACTTATATAATATAAATTCTATCTAGAGAAAAACTTATAATTTATATAATAAAAATAAAAATCTCAATTACATAACTTTTCATTATTATTTTCATATGAAAAGATCATGATCATTTTCATTTTCATCTTCATCACGGAACCAACAAAATACTACCAAGGTGGAGCAATATATATATTTCCTTCACAGTTGTTCTCCATTTGGTCTCATTTTTTGTAGTTTAGGGGCACCTATGCAAATTTGTATATCTGTTACTAAAAACTTAAAAATTTATGAGGAAATTGCCCCCACAATTCTATACATAGATCCGTCCTCAAGTTGAATCACTTACCATGCTTTCTTATTCTTTGATTATATTCAGGTTTGATTGAGCAGAAATATTCTCAAATGAGCTTGGACCGTGCTGGTATCACTTATGAAATTGGTTCCATATATTGGTTTATTTTTGCACGTACAAGACTTTATTTCCGATTTATGTATTTCTGTATGTCGCTGAGACTCACTTCCTGAAATAAGATTGGATGTTATTCTAGCTGCTACACAACAACGTCGCTCGTGTACTCGAAATAATATTCCACTTAATTCACTGTTTTCTTTGGATCTTCCTTCTGTTCAGGTTTTCGTCACTACAACAAGTATATTTTATGAAAGATCAATTTTTTAATCACAATATATATATTTTTAGAAACCACTTTTAAAATAGAGTTATTCTATCGAAACTATCTTTAATTGTTAATTTATACACAAACCATATTTAAAAGGTTTTTTATTCCAATCAACCACTTTAGCTCACATGTTATTTATGTTTCTTTTGGCAATTGACCCCATCTAACCTCCATTAAGGATAATATCTAATATATGTGGTATTTGACAACTAACCATTATACCAAAATGTGACTTCAGCTGGTTGATTGCAACAAGAATCCATTTAAAGATGGTTTATGTGTGCATTGACAATCAAAGATGATTTCTGTAAAATGTTCATATTTTAAAGGAGGTTTCTAGAAAGAAGGGGGGAAAGACGCCTATCATTTAATACATGATTTCGTTTTCCCGCCATGCCCCTCATCCGCACAGATTTTATTCTGCCACTTAGGGGGTGTTTGTTTCAAATTTTATAATTTTAGGACATGGATTTCACCATGAAATTTGAAATCCATAGGTGTTTTGTTATGAGTTGGGATTTCTAAAAATGTTGTTTGTTTTATTAATATTTTAGGATTTAGGATATTACAATTTGTAATATTTTATTTGTTTCAAGCTCAAATTATAGCATTACTAAATGTTAAAATTTTGTAATATGATGAATATACTATCTTGGTGAGGTTACCTCTCATAAAAAAACAAAATTAGGATTTGTCAAATCCAATCCTCTCCATTTGAGAGGATTTGGCAAATTTTAAAAATTGAGCACTTTTTACACTTATGGAATTCAATATTCTAAAAATTTTCTTAAAACAAACATCATATATGGAATCCCAAAATACAAAAAAACTCACTTTTTGATCCTAAAAATTGTAATCCATATCATATGCCAAAATTTTTGGTGAAACAAACACCCCCTTAGTATCGATGCCTTCAGAGTTGAGAAGAACAAGGCTAAGCTTCCGTTTGGTTGAACTTAACTTGAAAAAGCTTAACAAACACTATTTGGGACTGACATTAACTTCTCGAATAGTTGAATATATATTTGGTTCGCTAGCTGTAGTTGGAGCAATTTTGTACTTAGAATTGTGTATACAGGTTATTTGCCTTCCAACTTGCATATATGTTATTTCTTTTATGTATTTTAAATGCTTTGCTAAGAATTGTTTTTTGTGTATAATTTCAACTACTGCGGTTGGAAAACTACGGCTTAACAAACCACTTATGACATTCTATATTTTTTGTGTATAATTTCCAACTTGCATATTGTTTTTTCTTTTTTTTTCTTTTGTTGTATTTTTCCTTCAAATGAATTTTTAATTTTTTTTCTAATTTATGGGTGTTATCTGCAAAATCTAAAAACTTATTGAGGACTTTTTATAATTGCAAGAGTTATTAGGGGTTCAATGTGATTTTAAATATTATCGGGGGTTTACTGCAAAATGCAGAATGTTCATGTGGTTTTGGTGTTTTTTTTTGTTGGGTTTTTTTTAAATATTATCGGGGGTTTATTGTTGGTTTTTTTTTTCTTTTTTCTTTTTTTTTTGGAGGTCGCGTCTTCAATGATTGACATAACCTTCCCTAACTTCAACTCACATAAAAAACCCTAAAATTTTTGGATTGTCTCACGAAACCTTCTTGAAATATAAAATTTTCTTATGAACCCTCTACTTGTAATTTCATAAATAATAATTTCTTGAGAAGAAAAACTCTCAATGAGGAGAAGAGGAGACGTTCCCTATAATTGACAAATGATTAAATTTTTAAGTATTTTCCTATCAAAGAAGATATTAGTTATTTGCCAATTGCCGGTAGAAAGTCCAGCGAGAAAATTTTGAAGTTCAATATCTCATCTAAATACCCCAAAATGTGGCGCTCTGGGAAAATTTTAAGCTTCGCCCGCATGCTTTCGAGTCCCTAGGAACCAAACCTCATGTCTTTCGACTTTTCTTTGTCGAAGAATTTTTCAAAACAGACCTGCTTCAACTTTTTTTTCTTAAAACCGACCTGTTTTTTTTATTTATCAAAACCGACCCGATTTTTGTAATTAACAGCTTAATCACCATTCTAAACAGTCGGGGTTGGCAACCCCGACTATTTAGGAAGGTGTTAAACCCGAAGTAGAAGCCTTAAACCCTAAAAATTAATGTCCTAAATAGTCGGGGTTGCCAACCCCGACTGTTTAGGAATGTGATTAATCTGCTAATTACAAAATCGGGTCGGTTTTAATAAATAAATAAAAAACGGGTCGGTTTTAAGGAAAAAAAGTTGAAGTGGGTCTGTTTTGAAAAATTCTTCTTTCTCTGTCTCTCCGCGATTGCTTTCAGAAAATTACAAATGGATAAAACTTGACCAACTTCCTACTTAACTAAAAATTAAGGATACCGATTGATACGCTCACTCACTTTCTACCCCAACAAAACCCAACCCAACTGGACCCCACTCCGCACCCCAACCCCAACAAAGCACCCATAAATACTCTCCCCCTTCTCCCTCAAAGTCTCCTCGCTCAATCAAGCCCGTCAATGGCGACGATGTCAACTCCAAAAACCCTAACCCTAATCCTCCTCCTCAATCTTCTCCTCCCCTCTCAATCCGAGACAGTCTACGACCTCCTCCCAAGGTACGGACTCCCCCGCGGCCTCCTTCCCTCCGCCGTCAAATCCTACTCCCTCTCCTCCAACGGCGAGTTCGTCGTCGAGCTAACCTCGACCTGCTACGTTCATTTCTTATCAAATCTCGTCTACTACGAGAAAAAGATCACTGGAAAAGTTTCGTACGGTCAGATCACCGACATCGAGGGAATCCAAGCCAAGAAGCTCTTTTTATGGACCTCCGTCACCAAAATCGTCGCGCATCCTGCTGATGAAACCATCGAGTTCTATGTCGGGTTTTTGTCGGAGTCTCTGCAGGCGTCGGAGTTCGAGGAGGTGCCCGCGTGCAAATCTAAGGTTGGAGGGTGCAGAGGAGTGGATGGGGTTTTGAAGGAGGAGGCTCTGGCTGTTGCTGAGGTATAGTCAACTCTTATCAGTTAATTTTGACAGTAAATTCACATATTTGAAGTAATTTAGATATTTAGGTTAAGAAGATGGTATTGTTTCGGAAATTTTCTCTTTGATAGGGTATTTAGCATTGGGACCTGCCTGTTTGTGTGAAAGTAGATATTTTGTTGATTGGGAATTTTGGAAAATTTTCCTCCCGATGATTTGATAGTAAATGCACACATCTGAAGTAATTTATATCTTTAGGGTTAAGAAAATGGTACTGATTTGGGAATTTTCTGTTAAATCGGATATTTGACATTAGGGCCTGTTTATTTCTGTGAAAGTTAACGTTTTGTTGACTGGAAATATTGTGAATTTTAGTGTTTATTTGTGGTGTGTGCTATCGTTTCAATGCTTGCGTCATATGGTGTTAGTTTCGCAGGAATCTTAGGTTAAAATCACAGATTCCCGCATTTTCACTATTATGGTGAGATTAGAAATTCCTAGTTTTTTAGCTTATTGATTCAAGTCAGATATCAAATCTGTTGACTCGGGTGTCTAATATGTGGAACTTTCTTTCTTTCTTTGTTCCCTATTATTATGGAATGTCCAGTGGTTTGATTTTGCAAAGAATCATCTATATCAGCTGTACTACTCTGATACTGGGTACTCAACAAATGGCGGAAGAGAAGCAGTAGCTTAAATTTGGTTTTTTCATTTATAACATTGGTATGAACTGCAGTTGAGGCAACCCCGACTATTTAGGAAGGTGTTAAACCCGAATTAGAAGCCTTAAACCCTAAAAATTAATGTCCTAAATAGTCGGGGTTGCCAACCCCGACTGTTTAGGAATGTGATTAATCTGCTAATTACAAAATCGGGTCGGTTTTAATAAATAAATAAAAAACGGGTCGGTTTTAAGGAAAAAAAGTTGAAGTGGGTCTGTTTTGAAAAATTCTTCTTTCTCTGTCTCTCCGCGATTGCTTTCAGAAAATTACAAATGGATAAAACTTGACCAACTTCCTACTTAACTAAAAATTAAGGATACCGATTGATACGCTCACTCACTTTCTACCCCAACAAAACCCAACCCAACTGGACCCCACTCCGCACCCCAACCCCAACAAAGCACCCATAAATACTCTCCCCCTTCTCCCTCAAAGTCTCCTCGCTCAATCAAGCCCGTCAATGGCGACGATGTCAACTCCAAAAACCCTAACCCTAATCCTCCTCCTCAATCTTCTCCTCCCCTCTCAATCCGAGACAGTCTACGACCTCCTCCCAAGGTACGGACTCCCCCGCGGCCTCCTTCCCTCCGCCGTCAAATCCTACTCCCTCTCCTCCAACGGCGAGTTCGTCGTCGAGCTAACCTCGACCTGCTACGTTCATTTCTTATCAAATCTCGTCTACTACGAGAAAAAGATCACTGGAAAAGTTTCGTACGGTCAGATCACCGACATCGAGGGAATCCAAGCCAAGAAGCTCTTTTTATGGACCTCCGTCACCAAAATCGTCGCGCATCCTGCTGATGAAACCATCGAGTTCTATGTCGGGTTTTTGTCGGAGTCTCTGCAGGCGTCGGAGTTCGAGGAGGTGCCCGCGTGCAAATCTAAGGTTGGAGGGTGCAGAGGAGTGGATGGGGTTTTGAAGGAGGAGGCTCTGGCTGTTGCTGAGGTATAGTCAACTCTTATCAGTTAATTTTGACAGTAAATTCACATATTTGAAGTAATTTAGATATTTAGGTTAAGAAGATGGTATTGTTTCGGAAATTTTCTCTTTGATAGGGTATTTAGCATTGGGACCTGCCTGTTTGTGTGAAAGTAGATATTTTGTTGATTGGGAATTTTGGAAAATTTTCCTCCCGATGATTTGATAGTAAATGCACACATCTGAAGTAATTTATATCTTTAGGGTTAAGAAAATGGTACTGATTTGGGAATTTTCTGTTAAATCGGATATTTGACATTAGGGCCTGTTTATTTCTGTGAAAGTTAACGTTTTGTTGACTGGAAATATTGTGAATTTTAGTGTTTATTTGTGGTGTGTGCTATCGTTTCAATGCTTGCGTCATATGGTGTTAGTTTCGCAGGAATCTTAGGTTAAAATCACAGATTCCCGCATTTTCACTATTATGGTGAGATTAGAAATTCCTAGTTTTTTAGCTTATTGATTCAAGTCAGATATCAAATCTGTTGACTCGGGTGTCTAATATGTGGAACTTTCTTTCTTTCTTTGTTCCCTATTATTATGGAATGTCCAGTGGTTTGATTTTGCAAAGAATCATCTATATCAGCTGTACTACTCTGATACTGGGTACTCAACAAATGGCGGAAGAGAAGCAGTAGCTTAAATTTGGTTTTTTCATTTATAACATTGGTATGAACTGCAGTTGAATAATTCTGTAAGTATAACCTATTTCTGTATATTGAAGTTAAAGAGATGAATTTATGGGTCCTAGCTTAATGCTGAATGGTGGGAGAAAAGCTTTCAAGTTATATCGATAGTTTAAGAAACATATCAGTAATTTATGACTTGAGGGGAATAAAATAATATTAACTTGTTAAAAACATTTGATGATGGGCTTTCTCCCAAAATTGAGCTTCTCAATTTTCATAAATTAGTGCATCAAGGAGAGTCTTAACAGCATAAAATGAGATAGATCAAACTAAACAAGTTTTATGATCTATGAGGATAAAATGAGATATATGTGTATGAACACTAGCTTAACAATGGTTATTTTGCAAGCACAGAAAAGGATAGGTATCTCGTGACTTATGAACGGAAAAATTGAGCTATCTTTTTGGACTTTTTCAGCTTTGTACCATGACCCTTAGTCATCATCTTATTGGGGATAGCTAGATGATGATATTGAGGAGGAGATGGATGTCTTCTCAAATTTTTGTGCATAATAGAGAATTTGAATTCTGAAGAACTAAGAAGCATGGCTTATACATCTATAGAAGAGTTTTTACTTGTTACTCTATAATGATACAAGCAGTCTCCATCTTAAATGGATGTCAGCACTATATTCATGTTGGCTACTGAGATGCCCTGCGATATAGTCCATGGTACAATCTTCTATTAAGGATGGACAAACAGTATAGACCATGGAATAATTTCTAGTGGTTGGTTCGTGTATGTAACTGTAATGACCTGTTTGAAACCAAAAGTAAATGCATCTAGTGAATACGTTTATATTGATTAATCCAATTATAATCGCAGATGTCTGTATTCCATTGTAGCTAACCACCAAATCAGTTTCCTTTTCCATTCTCTGCTAATGCAAATTCCTCTGACCTGTTCCTTTGATCCTCTTGGCATGTTTTGGGTATCTGGGAGTATCATAAGAAATGATTCTCTGTGTAATATGATTGATAATGAATCTATTTTCAATTTTGGTTATGAACACGGTTTACTGTCCCTGGTTTTGTATATGAGCACCTCATTCTCTATAACAAGATAAGATTAATGCTTATTTTACTTTTGAATTTTAACCTATTTCGATACGTGTAGCTAGCATTATAAGAACAAGGCTTTCTAAATTAAATTTATAACTGAGCGGAAACAGCAGGCACATCCTTCCTATCTTCATTGTTGATGTTCCGATCTCTAACTATCTCGATGCTATTTGATATTTAATGTTGGGTTTTCAGTTATTTACGCCTTTGGCCTGAAATGCTAATTCATTCCTTACTATATGTTTACTGCGACATTGACGCCTTCTAGTTGAGGTCACTTACCCTGTGTTCTTATTCCTTGATCCTTCGCAGGTTTGAGCAGATATATTCTCAACGGAGCTAGTGCCACATTTGTATCGCTTCTGAAGTACATCGGCTATATATGTTAAATTATCACTCTTTTGTGTCAGACGTCCGATATATGTATTTGTGTATGTGGTTGAGTTACTTTCTGAAATAGAAGTTTGTGCATGTTCTTCTAGTAAGCAACAAATATCTGTGCTGAGTAATGAGTACTCTCTAAATAATAGTCGATTACTTTGTTGGGAGAAAAATTCTGGTCGTACCTCTAATGATTTGAATAACACAAGAAAACCAACGGAGAGGCTTTCTTATGGGGGGGATAAGAGAGAACAAAGGGTTTGGAAAGGGTTGTGACTTGCACATGAAGAACGGGTGTATTTCTCAATCCCAAAAAATATATGAAATCGCCTATTTTGGCAAAACAGAATCGAACCATACAGATCAAAGTTAAGTTTGAGACAAAATTTTAAAATAGACCCCTTTAGAAATTTATTTTTAAAAAAATGATCTTTTTAAAAATATTTGTTATTTTCGACTTAGTTTTAGCCACCTTGCTTAAATTGGATCAAAAATGGCGAAAAAACATTAAAAACTTTATGAGATTTTAAATCCCGTGAAGTTTAAGGCCTCATTAGCGCTTGGGTTAGTGGGAGTAAGTGTGAAGCCACATCTTCACGGGATTTGAAATCCCGTGAAGTTAGCGCCGACTCGAGAGAGCGATGACTTTGGCAATTTGGCCTGTAACTTCACGGGATTTAAAATCCCGTGGAGTTGCGGTAGGCCCACCACCCCAGCTAGCTATTTAATTCCCCCTCACGTGATCTCATTTCACGTCTCTCCCCAACTTGTTCACTGTCTCTCTCTCCCCTCCTTCACCACCAATCTACCACCGCCCGTCGCCGCATCGTCCGTCGACTGTCGTCGCTCCCGCCGCAGAAATATCATCCTCTTTCAGGGCTGAAAAGCGTCGAAGTTCACCGGAGATCGTTGGATATCAAATTTAGGGTATCGACAAATTCTCGGTAAAATCTTTAAACTTTTTTGTTTTTTCTCCTAAATTTTTACATATTCTCACTATTTCATGCTAATAACTTGTTTAAATTTAGATTTTAAAATAAATTTTGAAATATATATGAATTTTGTGAAGAAAAAAATAAAGAAATTTGTATATGAAGTTAGAGAGGAAATTAGGAAAACTGTAAAAGTTAGTGTCTTATTTTTTTAAAATTTTAAAGGTGAATATTGTTTAAATTATTTAAATTAGGCGATCTTAAAAATATAAAGGTTTGACAGTTGGCTAAATTATGGATGTGTAAAATCGACATTTAGAGGATTTAATTGTAAATAATATTTTTGTTTTTTTTGTGTAATATTGATATTATAATTTTTTTTACTCTTCAAAGGTAAAGATGAACGATCGAATCGTAATTCTTTGTTCATATGATGGGAAAATTAACTATCTCGAGAATAATATGCATGTATATGATGGAGGTGTAACGAAACCGTTGTTTATATCAAAATCATATACTTTCGATAAATTGGTTAATAACTTACACAAACTTACATTAACCAATCCATGTGAGTATCACCTCAACGTGATTTGCAATTATCATGTTATGGGGATCTAAACAAGCAGCATTCAAATCTCAAGTAACTACGATATGAGTCTCATTGGAATATTGTATGATGAAAAGCGTTCGGTGGAATTATTTATTGAAAAGCATCATAGAAATTTGGGCAAATCGATGAATCACGACGGAGTATACTCTTGCACGTTAGAGGACCTTAAAGTTGACTCCATCGCCTTTTTGTCTCCACAATAAGATATGGGAGGGACACAATCATAATACTTGAGCGGTCCTTCACTTGTGGGCACTTCAAATGTCTTCGATGATAACGCTCCCCATCAAGATTATTAACCTTTCACAGGAGTGACGATAGAAGCTGATAATGCAAGTGACGAATTCAAGGATGATGAGGAGGAGGATGACTTACAAATTAATAGCATGACATGTTTGATAGATCGTGATGAAGGGGACAACCAATATATTGACTGATGTTATTCCAACAATGAGTATGTCATGTTAGAGGATCTGCCACCCGATGAACTTTATAGAAAAGAATGGATTGATGACTCCACAATGGAAAGTATTCCTATTAGCACTAATTTAAATGATGATACACAAGACAAGGGCTTCTCATTCAGAAAGGGCGATCTATTTGAAAGCAAGAAGAAATCGATTCATGCATTTTGTTTGTGAGCCATAAAAAAGTCAAGTGTAGGCAGACAAAAAAATAATACAACAAGGTATAATGTAGTTTGTTTTTACTGCGAAGATGGTGAGGAAGAAGATAGTGATGGGTACCACGGCGGAAATGCAAAATGTCCTTGGAAGCTTAATTCACGCTTGGGGGTAAGAGTAGGCGGTCAATTTAAAATAATACACTACAACAAACTTCACACATGTAGCAATCTTCGATTAGAGATAAATCATAAACACGTGCCGGCCTCTTTCATATATTGATTAATTATGTCTAAACTAAGGGAGGATCTTGATCTAAGGCCAAATGATATTCGTATTTTAGTGCATAAAGCGACCAACTTGGATGTATCATACAACAAGTGTTGGAATGCTCGGAGGAAGGTAATGATAAAAATATTCGGAGATTGGGATAAATCTTATGAGATCTTACCACATTATCTTAAAGCACTCAAAAAAAACTGGGGATAGTGTATGATGTATTATCAGATCCTGTTGACGGTGGAGATAGATGACTCACATGTGTATTTTGGGCATTTGGGTATTGCATTGAGGGATTCAGATATTATTGTCCTCTTCTTAGCATGACAGCACCCACTTGTACGGTAATATAAATGTGTTTTGCTTGTTACAACAATACAATCAGAATAGATGCAGATGACAGTTTATTTTCTTTGACCTTTGCAGTGGTTGATGTTAAAAATACAAAAAAAAAAAGGCATGATTATCTCAAAAGTAGACCAAGCCTAAGGAGATTTTTGAAAATCACATTTAACTTTATTAGAAAGGACATGGAAGAGGGTCATTTTCCCCCTTCCGTCGGAGACATTTCGATCAATTGAAAATATGTGATTTTCACGGTATACAATGAGATCTAACATTGTTTTCCCCCTTTTGATAAAAAGATCTAACGCTGTTAGTTTTAGGGTTATTTGACAAAATGCAATGAGATTTAATTGAGATTTCTTAAGTTTAGAGGGTTATCTTAAAAATGGTCAATTGTAACGCTGTTTTATGAAATTTACCCATTAAGCCCGTTTGACAAAGAGTTAATGAAGGGAAATTAAGGAGAAGGATTAACATAGTTAGCACATTCGATAATCCGAATGACTAAATTATTAACCCGTTATTCGATAATCTGAATCACTAAATTATTAACCCGTTATCTAAGTTTTATTTTAGTTCTTGTGGTCAGTTTTAGTGGTTGGGAATAACAATGATTTTGACTATTTTTTTATAATTAGAAGGGTCAACTCTTAATCCTTCTAAATAGGAGCATTAGTAAACCCCTCATTTTGAGGGATTAATTCATTTTAATCACTCTAGAGGGGTTAGCTTAACCCTACTATATTTTTTATGTTTGGCAAATTATGAAGGGTTAACTCACTTTAACCATCGTATAGATTTTTTATGTTTGACGGGTTAAGAAGAGTTAAGTCTCAATAACCCCTCACTTAACCATTTACCAAACGGTACCTAAGTTAGTGAATACCAATATTTTATTAGTGTTTAGTGAGTTAAGGCTAGTTCCTTTGATATTTTAATTTAATATAAGTTTAATAATTTAATATTATTTCCATAACGTAGTTGTAAAATACAAGAACCGGTTATTGTTAAGTTTGTGGATATCTCAATATTTTAATATATCAATTTTGACCTGGTGGTTATTGCAGCTATTCAGCCTATTCTTATGTTTTGATTATTGGTATTTGGCACGTATTAATTTATTGTTTCATTTTAACTTGAAGATGTATATAGCTTCTACGATTTATATTGTAAGTTCACATCATGGAATACACGTGCTGAAAACGGCAACAAAAGTGCCGATACGCATGGAATTTTTTTTTAAAGAAAAAGTAGACGGAAAGTGCAACGACCTTTATTATGTACATGATTTATCTAAAAAATAATTTGCACGTGGAAATAAATTATTGTACTCCCACCGTCTCTTTTGAATCTTCAATTATGTACTCTCAAGTATTTCACGGCAAAACTTGGTGGTAGAAAAAAAAAATATTAATTTAAAACTTTCTTTTTTTATAAAAAAAGAACGAGAAAAAGAAAATAAAGACTAACAACAATTTGATCCATTATTTGAGCCCACTGGTCCCTTCGGGTATGAAACCTTGGATACGATCCATTGAGAGTAGGATCCATTATTGAACAACCGCCTCGTGACGTAGGGAACCTCACCACTTTCAAGGTTGAGTCATCCAAGTTCCAAGGTCAAGAAATTTCCAAAATTTGGCGTTATATAACAGTTTGACACAAATATAAATATATTTTACCAGAATTGTTTTTTATTACAGCTTTGATAGCGATTTGAAACTTATAATTTGTTAATGTTAATTAAGATTTTATTATGTTGGAGAACTCGTCAATATAAGATTAATTAATATTTTAATTAAGATTAATTATTATTTTAATAATGACAATATAATCTGTTAAGATTAATTAAGATCTTATTATGGTGGAGAACTCGTCAATATAAGACGAGGGAGTATCTATGGTGCCATCGAGCGAATGAAGGCGCAAGAACGAACAAACCATAGAAAAGATCGGGACTCTTTTTTGTAGGTGCTAAAAAATGATCTAATACAGATCTAATAACCGTGATTAATTTAAAGAGATTTAATACAACAAGAGCGGAAGCTATACCTGAATCCATTACACGAATCTGAATTAGGGTTTTGATGATCTTCTAATCTTGAGGGTTACTCCTTAAGAATCTCTTTAGATGGGATAAGAGAATAGAGAATGTTAACCCTAAATTAGGGACCATAACCCATTATTTATAGGTGTTGTACTTTTATAATTTGATCCATTATCAAATTATAATTACAACATGGTACTTGCACATTTTAGCCTATGATTTATTTAAACACTCATTAAACCAAATTGATTGATCACTTTATGCGGGTTATC